CAATATTCAAACGTCTTCCACACATCTGTACGCAGCCTCTGTGAATTTCGACTCGCTGCAACTAAATAAATCTATATCTCTAGATATGATATTGAGAAGCCGTATAGCCCGCACTATAGAAGCATTTATTTTGTTAAGTTACTTTTTACTATAGTAATTATAAGGTCTTGTTTATATTTATAATTTAATATATTTATGTTGTTTAATTGACTCATTATGACTGTATTTGTATCATCAGAGGTGCGTATTGAGATAAATTATTACTAAATGTTGTTTTAATTTTTTTTAAGTTTACCAAAGAATAAGATTAATAGAGTATTTAGTTTTTATTATAGAGTAAGGTTTCTAGTAAGCGTCGGTGGCACACGGGTCAAGCACTTGATTGGCAATACGCAGGTCCTGGGATCAATCCCGCCATGTACCAATGTGTTTTTCGATTTCCGATTTATATATGTACATTTATCCGACGTTCTTACGGTGAAGGAAAACATCGTGATGCAACCTGCACATATCTGAGAAGAAATTCAAAGATATGTGTGAAGTTAACCCGCACTTGGCCAGCGTGGTTGACTATGGCCTAATCACCCTTAACTTAGGGTAGGCTCCGAGCCCCTCGGCGGGGACGTATAGTGAGCTGATGATGTTGAAGGTTTCTAGTAATAAGTAAATAAAAAGTAAAAATTTCTGAAATACTTTTTATTATAAAAGACAGTACAAAAAATAGTATTTAGTCGACTGCGATCGAAACAAACTACATTCGTTCTTACACTATATAAAGCTATATACAAAAGCAATTTAAACTGGTATATAATATGCATATAGGTATATGTGAAGCCTTTTTACCAAGATATTGAAAGAGATCAAGTAAATAATAAACAACAAAAATATACAAACATTTTGTGACCTAAGTATACATTTGAAATGGATACATAAAAAAATAAGTTGATTTATAAAAATAAACATCATAATATAAATACAAAAACATTTGGTGAAGACATCTACAAAGTCAAAAAGATTAACTTCAAGTAAAATGAAAGCAAGTTTCAAACAATTGCACATCGACCCAAATCTCCATAGAGAGCATTCTAAAGACAGACAACTAAATTAAAGGTACTAAATACAGATAAGAACTAACTAAATCACAATATTATTCGTGACTAATAGAGCCTCAATAAAAGCCTTCGAATCATCGAACACTCGTTTGTTAATCACAAAACAAACATGCCGCCATTTTGGTTAACCTTTGCGCTAATCTAGTTTAAAGACATTTATGTTTTGAGCACGTTCAATTGAAGCAGTTAAAAACTATTTCGTAATACTTTCGACTATTTACGCAATTAAATGTTAGACGTAATCTAACTGCATCACTTCTAAAGTTTGTTAAATTTTGTACCCCATGATCTCAAAAATTATTACTAAATCGATTTTGTTATTATAATTTTAATATCAATGGTAGGGAATTCTTTCAGCAAATAAGAAAGCAACAAGCAAAAAACCTTTTAAAATCTTTCGAAGTTAATTAAACTGGTGTTTCTGGTCATAAAAGTTATTTGATTAACTAACAATCGAGTGTTCAATTCGCAACTCTTCACCAGATTTTAGAAGTAAGTCCGTGTCCGTGGAAACCAGCGCCATAGAGAGACGCTCCCAGTCCTGAGGTGACGATGGACTTGACCACTGGTACCGCAACTGGCTGGGGCACTGGAACTGCTACTGGTTTGGGAACTGGCACAGCATATGGAGCGGGAACTGGTACTCCGACCTGAATTGATTAGCGTTACGTTTAGTTAGGATTTATTTTTGGATTTCGTTTGGTCTATGGAATCGATTTATGGTGATAGTTTATAAAATTGATTTAGTAACTTAAAAGATTAGCAATTTTGTTGATAAGCAATTTTTCAAAAAGGTATTGAGATTTTGATCCAAAAGGTAGAATACCTTTTTGATACCTCTGTGATTCAAATATTAATGTTTGCGCAATATATTTCTTAGCGTAAAGAAAATCTAGTGATTTATTGTATATAACATGATTAATTATTTTTTTTTACCTGTTTGATGACTGGGTAAGGAACTGCGTGGGGAACCGGGTAAGGAACTGGCCTGTCGACTGGCACAGCGACGTGCTTCTCAACAGCTACAGGGTAGGGTCTTGGCACTGCAACAGCATATGGCCGGTCTACTGGCACTGGGACCGCAACCTGGAATTATTCATTACACATTTAGTTTGAATTTATTTGGATTTTGGATAACGTTAGGTTTGGATACTTGAGTAGTTCAGATTGGATAAGATTGAAGAAGATGTTCTTGTGAGAAAACATTTCATACTTTCATATGTTAATTAAAAATATAATAAACTAGCTGTCACCCGCGACTCCGTCCGCGCGAAATTAAAAAATACTAAATGACCTATGTGTTCTTCCAGACTATGTTCTACATCTGTGCCAAATTTTATCAAAATCCGTTCAGCTGTTAAGAAGATATCTTCAAACAAACATCTATCCATCTAAATATTCGCATTTATAATATTAGTAATTAAATTCTTACCCTGACGGGGACGGGGTAAGGCCTGTCTACGGCTACAGGGTAAGGAGCTGGGACTGGAACGCCGACGTGCTTGGTGACAGTCGTGTGAACATCAGCACCAACAATTGTAGCACCTCCGATGGCACCGCCCGGTCCTACAGCGAAGCCTGGTCCTGCAGCTAGCGCGGCACCTAGCCCAGAGGTCAGGCCTGCAGCGTATCCTGAGCTGATTCCACCACCAAGACTGTAGCCTCCCAGGCTGTAGCCGGAATGTATGATAGGTGCAGCAGCAGCGTAATGTCCTACCAGTCCACTCCGCTTTTGAATGACTTTGCTCGGTTCAGCAAGAACTGATGCTGTCATGAAGAGGATTGCGACCTGGAAATAAAAGAAAGAAATTGTGACACAAGGTACGATTTGACTGACATTTCAAGATAGCAGTGTCCTTCGTGTTTTTCCCGAAAGTATCTTAGAATAAAATCTGGTTTAATAAATGTTTATTAAATACTAGCAGTCGCCCGCGACTCCGTCTGCGCGGAATTAAAAGAACATAATTAGTAGCCAATGTGTTTTTCCAGACTACGTTCTATATATATGTCAAATTACAGCAAAATTCGTCCAGCCGTTCTGGAGATACCTTCAAACAAACATACGTCCATTCATCTAAAAAATCGCATTTATATTAGTAAGATTGCTTCTGAAAACTTTTTAGTCATATTAACATGAGAAGTATTTTCAACATATTTTCGTTCTGAAATGTTCTGAATTATTATTTCTTTTAATAGAAACATACTGTAATATAACTATTGAACGAAAACAATGAACGACTTTTACCGTGCTACGTGCAATGACTTCACACCACTTAGCATGCGTCACGGGGTGAACGAAAACGAAATTTCGTTTGTCGTATGAATAATTAATAAGCTACGAATATTGTAGTCGATGATGAATCAATATAGTTTGTTTATTTTTATTATTATTACTTTCGATTTCATTGTTTTGTATAATACTTTTCTAAAACAGTAGTGATATGTTACTACAAAATATAAGGTCTTAGGGTTGAATCTACTGATTGATTTAAAACGAAATGAAATCCTTAGCTTTAAGGTTAGTATAAGTAGTTAAAAAAATAATAATAATTAATATTTATAATAAATATTGTCATCATCAGCTCACTATACGTCCCTACTGAGTGGCTCGGAGCCTACCCTAAGTTAAGGGTAATTAGGCCATAGTCAACCACGCCGGCCAAGTGCGGGTTGATTGACTTCACGATGTTTTCCTTCACCGTAAAAATGTCGGATATATGTAGATATGTAAATCGAAAAACACACTGGTATATGGCGGGATTCGGACCCAGGACCTACAGAATACAAGCCAAGTGCTTTAACCCCTGAGCCAACGATGCTCATATTTATATTAAAAAAAAATACGGTTCAATAGTGATTTTTGTGAATATGTTTTAATTGTTATGTTTTAATTAAAATTTGAATTATTTAAAATTTTCAAATATTTGTTTTTAATTTAATTGATCTATTTATTAAAAATATTTTTTACTTAAAATTTTATCTCATTCTTATTCTCATTTATGTATTTTAATTATATTATTTAATAATAATCTCAAATTAAACTTACGAAGGCTTTCATTTTGCTTGTAAGGTATCACGCACAACACTTAGGTAACTAACACTGTCGGTGACCACTGGTCATGTGTACCCTGTTTGTAAGGTAAGGACTTTATATAAGACTTGTGGGCACTGCCCCTACTATAGGCCGAAGGATTTTTACGTCAAACGCGATTATTTGCAACATCGTGGTTTGGTACAAACTTGTAGATGTATCTTGTTAACTAAAATATCATATTAAAATATAAAACGTAACAGAATATATTACGCGTAATTACTTTTTTCGTTAATAAATCTTACTTTTTACTAATATTATAAATGCGAATGTTTAGATGTTTGTTTGAAGGTATCTCCAGAATGGTTGAATGGATCTCGCTGAAATTCGCCATAGATGTAGAACATAGCCTGCACGAACACATAGGTTAATTACGTTTTTCTTTAATTCCTCACTGACGGAGTCGCAGGCGACAGCTAGTAACGCAATTTAGTACAGCTAAAGTAATTTGTTATATTATTAAGAAAACATATAATTATAAATAAGTAAATAAATAAATTTTGGATATAAAACATTGAAGGACTAAAATTTTTATATTATTAAATAAAATATTTTCTAATCTCCACACTTTTACGTATTTACTGCAACTGAAATGGCTTTAAATTTTTTCAGAATATATTATATTATATTAGAAAGTTTTTATTGTAAAATAAATTCGCATTCACCTTTGTATGTGGCTGAGGGAGTCCAAAAAGAAAATTGAATCTTAGAAATAATATCTATTTTCATCATCATCAGCTCACTGTACGTCCCCACCGAGGGGCTCGGAGCCTACCCTAAGTTAAGGGTGATTAGGCCATAATCAACCACGCTGGCCAATTGCGGGTTGGTTGACTTCACACATATCTTTGAATTTCTTCTCAGATAAGTGCAGGTTGCATCCCGATGTTTTCCTTCACCGTAAGAACGTCGGATAAATGTACATATGTAAATCTGATATCGAAAAACACATTGGTACATGGCGGGATTCGAACCCAGGACCTGCAGATTGCAAGTCAAGTGCTTGACCCCTGAGCCACCGACGCTCTATAATATCTATTTTAGGGTCATGGAATTGAATCTCGTTGATGTCTTTTATGAGTAAAATGTGTTGCAATGTTTATATTGAAATTAATTGCTATAATTGAATGATACATTTATTACTATTTGTCAATATTTGAAAGTAAACTTGATTCTTGTTATAGTTCGGTTTAATATTTGAACTATTCTAACATAAGTCAGCGTTGTATCGTAATTTTCACACATTTTGAAAATTATTTTAACCGATTTCAAGAAGGTGGAGGTTCAATTTGACTGGATTTTTTATCTGTGTCATTTATTCACTAGAAGATTTTTAGATTAACTTCCAAATGCGTTTCGAAAACTAACATTTTAGCTTCTTTCGCTTACTTAAGATAAACTTTAGGACCTACAAAAAAATAATATATTACAGAATTATAGCTCTTTAAATGTGCTAAATAAAAGTCTACGATAGCATATATCTATCTCTTATTGTATTTTCATAATAAACATTTTTTTCTAAAGGACCATCAATTATAAAAAAAAATCATCAAGTCTCATCATCAAGTATAAAAAGTGGATAGTATTTTATGACCCATTTTAGTATTACTGCACTATTTTATTATCTTGTGGCAAAAAGATTTAACCACGTTTACATTTTAAATGTCTTGCGATTGTAATTAATCTAATAGTTATATAGTTATATACTAGTTATATATGCTAACATATACTAAGATTTGTTTGTTTGTTCCGAATACACCGAATCGATTTGAAAAATTCTTTTACTGGTAGGAATCTATACTAGTATTATAAAGCGGAAGAGTTTGTTTAAACGCGCTAATCGTAGGAACTACTGGTCCGATTTGAAAAATTCCTATTGTGTTGGATAGTCCATTTATAAAAGAAGGCTTTAAGCTATATGACATTACGCTGCGATTAATATTTTTTTTTAATTTCGCGCGGACGGAGTCGCGGGCGACAGCTAGTCTGATATAAAACAATAAAGTTAGTAATATAAAATTTCGTAACTAAAGAGTGTATAAAAACATAATAATCTGGTTAAATATTCAGAGCACTAACAGTGAGTTTCTAAAACCAAAATCTCTGTATAAAATGTATCGTCATCTCTTTCATCATATTTGATGAAAAAAGATAGCGATATTTTAAACAGATATTTTGATAGAATAGAATAGATCATTTCTTTATTACCACAAACAACCAAAAAATCTACAAAAAAAAACAATTTAGATTAAATAAATTAAGGATGTGGCAAAAAAGGTGGCCAGCTCAGCTGGTGCAGGGAGAGCCTTGACCATTCCTGCGCTGGTTTTCAGCTGGCCCCTTTGTGCTCTCACCATTTACACAACACGAGGATCTCAGAAACCCGTGATTAGTGATAAATGTCTACCAGTTATGTAGCAGTACCAAATATAGTATTTCAATTTGTTAATATTTTGCATAAATTTGCTATAAATATTAATAGAAATAGATGAACTTTATATTTCTTTAATTTAATTATTTATTATCATTGATTTATTATATTAAGCAAGATGTTAAATGAAAGATTACCTCTCCTTTTGGAAATTTAAAGATCTTTTTATAACTTAAATGTTAACTGTTTTAATTAACAGTAATCTTATTAATATTATAAATGCGAACGTATATAGATGGATGCATATTTGTTTCAAAGTACCTCGAGAATTGCTGAATGGATCTCGCTGAAATTTGGCATAGATGTAGAACATAGTCTGGAAGAACATATACGCTACTGGAACGTCTGGAACAACATATAATTAATTTTTTTTTTAACATTGCGCGAACGAAGTCGCGGGCGACTTTAAACTTTGAAGCTTGTGTTAGGATTATTAGTGAAAATAGTCGAATGACGCGTATTAAAACCAAAACAGGTCTTTAGTCCGCGCTTCTAACCATTAGTAAATTCTGCTAAATAAAAATGTCTTGGACATATCTGACTAAATTCAATAGAGAGGCATTTTTTTATAGATTGTTATTGGTCAATACCCTTTTGGGCTAAAAGGCTGTCTATCTATAAGCTATGCTAGATGTTAATAATAGATTTGGTAACCAGTGTTTATGGTCACAGGTAACTAGACCAGAGTTTCTCAAAGTGACCTCCTTGGAGCTATGGGGACCGGGAAGCTCTGTTCTACGAAAATAGTTCTAATCGATCTATTAAAAAGCAACTATTGGAAAGACAACCAGAGGAACTAGATTACGTGGAAGGCCAAAACTAAGATGGCTGGATGATTTCGAACGTGACGTTAAAAATATCGGTGTCAAGAGCTAGGAACATAAAGCCCAAAATAGACCGATATGGAAGATTTTACTGGACTTGGACCAGGACCAACCGAAGCTGTAGTGCCACTGATGAGGAAGATCATCAATTAGAAGGATATTAACTATACATAAGGTTTCAGATTAAAAAAAAACAATAGGTTAATGAACGAGGGAAAGAAAATAATTACAAATTCAAGAACATAGAATAATGTTAGGTCAATAAGTTTAAGGTTCCGTTAAATACTTCGCGACCCAAAAGGGATCCGTAATCAAAAAGTTTGAGAACCGCAGACTTGGGGCATTGCATAAAATGTTGCAACCCGCCCGCTACACCAGTTCGAGATCACGAAATCGGATACCTAACAATACTTTGCTTCCTAAGTAACTCTATATAGCATGAGTTGTCAACCTTTTTTCAGGATTATTTATTTATTTTTTTAAAAAAGTTGTGTTAAAACTCATTAAGGGAACTTACAAATTCGTACAATGTTTGGAATTCAATGTGTTTTGAGTTGTTTTAATTATGAAATTGAGATTGTTATTCACATATGTTTTATAACTCACTGGCTGCTTGCAATTCTGTTCGCGCGAAATAAAAAAAAACATACTAAGTAGCCTATGTATTATTCGAGATTCTATATGTGTGCCAATTTTAATCCAAATTCATCGACACCTTTCGAAGATACCTTCAGACAAACATTCATCCATCTAAACGTTCGAATTTATAACATTAGTAAGATCATCGACAACTGTGTTCAATATTGACTTTAGAGACACAATTTCAATATTGAAGAAATGACTCCTCGCTGATGATTAGTAGATATGTGACGGACGGACGGACAACAAAGTGATCCTATAAGGGTTCCGTTTTTTTCCTATGAGATACGGAACCCTAAAAAGGAATATGAACATAGACTTTAATAAAACCTTTGATACGCTAGTACACAAAAGTATACGATAAATCGAAGAATTTTTTACTGATTTCGATCGAATTGTGTAATGTGAAAGCTCCTATAAATGTGCATTGACATCACGCGTGGATTTTTGACTGCCATTTGCAGCACGTATTCGTGACTGCGAAACGCGTAAAAACAAACTACCGTTTCGCATCAAACAGGAAAGCGAATTTATTCCTTGATTATCTGATAAGTCAAATCATCTCGAGATCTGAGAAACTTAAATTGAGTTTGATTAGCCAACACTAATGGATCACAAATAATTCTTGGTTTAATTTATATTTTTAAGCCTGCTGCAGACTGATTTAGCTGTTGAAGAGTTTCACTGTCCAGCTATACGTCTGTAGTATGCTTTAGTTATTAACAAATCAGGTTGAAAACATTGTTTCTTGTTAACGAAATGTTCATTGTTAAAAATTATTCGCCAGACAAATATCACATCTGTTTATTCTTTTGTTTGATTCTATTATTTTCTAAAAACTGCTCCAAGCTCTAGAAATGGATGCTCCAATCGTTCAGACTCTGATAGCTCTTGAACAGTGTAATTAATGTCCTACGAAGTAAGTTCAAGTCGTAAGTAACCATTTGAAAGGCACACAGTTTCCCACAACTAGCTTTATCTAGACATAACTACAGGATAATACGTAGTCTGAACTGACGTCAGCCTGTTGAAATATAGTACTTAATGCTTTGAATATAAAGAAGATTTTATTTTGCAATAACAAAGGGTTTCTTGACCCGCGAAGAATGCCAGATGCTCTACTTTCATTGTTACTTCGGT